CCGTATTGGATTGAGGAACAGGGGGTTTGTGGGAGTCTGGCCTCAGGAATGATGAGTATATCGACCGCTCAGGCTGTTTTCCCCTGGGTCTGGTGCTGTGAACGGATGGGCGTGACAGAGGATGACAAAAAAGCTTTTACATAAACAAACACATGATTCACCGGATTAACCGTTATGCATACAAGACACAAAAAGCAGGTGATTTAAAAGATGAGATATTTAATAACCAGTGTTATTTTAGTATCATTTAGATACTATGAGTTATATATATATATGATATATTATTAATATGATTTAAGTTATAGTAAGTTATATTATACAAATTAACAATATTATAACAAATTAATATTATGTAAATTATTATATAAATTAATTATATAAAATTGTTATATTTAGATATAAAAAATATTCTATATATTTTTTTAGATATCTCTGTATAATTTGTATTCATGGCAAATAGCTGAAATAAGTTTTATTTAATGTTTATTTTATTTAAAATGACAGAAATGTTTTTTTTTTATTATTTTAGTTAACATTTAGTTAAACTACTATAAGAATTATTAATATTTTTAATTTGTTTTTATTTTTTTCTGTTTTCAATGACATTTTAGTGAACATTTTAGTAATTTTGTAGTGTTTTTTGTCATTTTTATTTGACAAAATATATATTTTTTAAAATATGTCTGTATAATTTATATTTGATTTTATTTCAGTTTCAGTTTTAGTTAGTTTAGTACATCAAATTAAACTAAATGAAAATGAGAAATGTCACCATGGCAACTAGCTAAAAAAATAAATTAACTTTTAAAAAAAAATATTTCAACTTATTTCAATTTGTTTTTATTTGAAGTGACAAAAATGTTTTTTAATGGTTTTAGTTTTAACTAACCCCAGAGCTAACATGAACTAAATTCATATATTTTTATTATGTAACGTAAAAAATATTAATAAATACTGTATCAAATGTATTGTTCACTGTTAGTTAATGTTAGTTAACCAATTGAAAGTGTTTTTTTTTCTCAGATGAATCATAAAATCATTCCAATTTACTTATGAATCATTTAGACTAATTTACAAAATCTGTTCAACTTAATTACTGACATGAACCGACTCAAAAACAAACAAATCAAACACCCCTATTACTCCAAGAGCACTCCGGTGGAGACAGATGGTACCAACATATACACATGCCTGAGGAACCCTGAGGTTTGCAAAACATGTGACTAGTTACATTAATTCTTGTGAAAAAGTCATTGATGCGATTATTGATTTTTTGATGAAATGTTGACAGGATGCTGGTAGAAATCTACAAACAAATCTTTGAGCATGAATTAATGACCTCTAGCATCGAGTGTCATCACACCAATGACGCAAGACGGCTCACTCGGTTAACATGAACAAACAACCCAGACCCAGCCCTTGACCTCAGGATTAATGAGCCGGTCTGACCGGACCTGAGGTCAAAGGTCATGGGTTAAAACTGAGCCGAGAGAGAGCAACTGAGAGGACCGGAAGAGAATTGAGATTCAACACGTGTCGAGTGCAAACAGCTCATTCAGCTGTGCCGTTAAAAACTGTTCAAAGGATGTGAAGAGATAAAAAGATTCAGCTCTCCTCTCTCCTGAAAATATACACCTTGAACGGCTGAAATAGTATTAGTTATTAATTCTGCTTTGTCTTTTCAAGCTCTCGTATTATCACCAAAGTGTCAACGGTAGGTAAGTTTTATACCAGCTGGTTGTTTATGCTAAGACCAGCTTGAACCTCCTTTCCTTTGAGCTCTAAACATGAAACCGTGAAGGCCCTTACCTGCCTAGAAGAATGTTTTTTGCTCAGATGTTTTCCAAGCTCATGCAATTTATTGCCTTTCTGCAGCTATGTTTCATTTCGGTATCAATTTCATTGAGGTATATTTCCTGTAATTAAATTTAAATTACTATATATTCAAATAGAAAACAAATTGTTGGAGGAAGGACTGTCCAGCTGTCACGCCACCATATTTGTCACATTTTAGCATTGGTGTCTCTGATTGAAATTGTTAGCATGCAGCTCTTTTATGGATGTTGGCTTAGTGAAGTTCTCTATGGTCAGTATTTGAAAAAGGTTTGCTGTCACTTTGCTGCAGTGTTGTTTGGACACAATCCTTCTTAGTGTTTGATGGTCCCTAACATTCAGCGTTTGCTCACTTTTCTTCTTCACTGTCAAGTCTTGCCATGCTTTGTGCATGCAGTCATAATCGTAAAGACTGTTGTTCTTAAAACACCAAAAAATAAGGTTACAGACTCCTGCTAAATGGGCTTTTTTGGAAGTCTGACAAGTCACCATTTCACCGACCGCTTGTACTAAAAGCTGCTGAACACAACTTATACTACACTGATACAGAACCAAAAGAATATAGCAAAAAGGCAAATAAAAGTTAACCATTTTTTTTAGCCTACAAAAAATAGGTATTCATATGATTTTGTCCAACCCGTGTTTGTATATCAGTGGTGTTCTGAAATGAGGCAAAGTACTTTTTTTTTTTCTGTTTAAATAAAATGTAAATTCATGAATTTCATGTAAATTCATGTCCCAGTCACATTTTCTTGGTTACATAAACATTACTTACAATTATATTTTATATTTTTACATTAACAATGTAATCAATATTCTATTTATTAAAGCCAAGTATGAATCTCATCAAGTTAGTGTTTTTAAGCATTTTACATTTATTCCAAATTAACAACTCAAGGCAGTAACAATTTATATAATATTTTATTTGTGAACTTATGTTAAGCTTTTCTTTTTAATAGTTAACTTTTAAATATTTTAGAATTTTTCCAATTATTAGTCATCAAAGCTCAATATATTGGTCACAGACACATTTAGCTTAAATTTCACCAAGCTGATTACTCAATAAAAACTCCCAGAGATCATATTTTCAGACCATCTCAAGTCTTATTTTGATGTAACAAAGTGATTATATCTAAGTGTGTGAGTTGTTTACTTACTTTTTAAAATTAGTCTTCCCATTAACACCATTATATTGTTCATTCAGACTGATTTGCAAACGCGGAATGCGCATGAACACAAGAGGTGGGATTTATCGCATGAACCAATCACAGCCGAACATAACCAGTCATATCCAATCATATCGTGATGGAGGCATTGGTTCCTCTCACGTGACTTTTCTCCATTCATTCTCAGTTACCCCCCACCAAACTTACCGCACGCTTTAGGGGGTCTGTTAAAACTCAATGGGCTCAGTGGAGACCCCCACTGTAACTTTACCTGCTGGTGTCGCTGTTGGACAGTGTTACTTTAGAAAAATTAGTGATTTATACAGTTTTTAATGATACATTTTGTAATATTTACATTGTTTTATTTTTGTACTACAAACTCTTTTCTCATCCAATTTTTGGAGGAGGCACTGCCTCCCTTGCCTCCTCGGAGGAAATGACCCTGATGTATATGAATGAATGAATAAATTAATGAATTTATATAGCGCTTTATTGTGTATTGTTGTACACCCAAAGCGCTTTACAATCATGTGGGGGGGGTCTCTCCTCAACCACCACCAGTGTGCAGCATCCACTTGGATGACACTTAATATACGCATATATTTGTGCTGAACAGTTAAACCTGCTGTTCTTCAGAAAAATCCTCCAGGTCCCGCAAATTCTTTGATTTTTCAGCATCTTTTACATATTTGAACTCTTTACTGCAGTGACGGTATGATTTTGAGATCCATCTTTTCACACTGACAACAACTGAGAGACTCTTACGCAACTATTACAAAAGCTTCAAACGTTCACTGATGAAATTTATTTTCTTATTTTGTTTAAATATCTTTTTTTATTATTATTATTTAGCACTGTCCTTCAGAAGCTACAGAAGATATTTACATGTTTCCATATTTTTTTTTTTTACATTTGCAGGTCTAGCGATTTGTCTCATCTCTCTCAATTAGCGCTGAGAAGTAAATGGGGTTCAAAATGCGATGCACAAATTTCTGGTTTTATTAGTTTAATGAATGTTTTTTTGTGAACTGAATCAAATGAATCAGAGTTTCAAATGAATGAAACTATTCAAGTGAATCAAACAATTCAAATTAATCAAATGATTCAAATTATTCAAATGAACAAAGCTACTGAGATGAATCAGAATTACTATTACTACTATTAGTAAACTGATCTGTTCAAGGAGGTAAAAAGTAGCTCAGATCATTTGGTCTTGGAAGAATTTGATGAGAACCGTCTGAGTCCATGAGATCTGACTTTTGATTGCAGACCGAATGTAGTTTGAGATGTTGTAATCTCTTCTAAAACCCCAGAGTAGACAAAAGTGAGATTAAAGGAGTCTTTTTCTCAGGAAAAAGAAAAAGTTCAGCGAAAGTCACCATTTAATTCTAGGAGACATTAAAGAGATTTTCATTTGTGATTTTCTTTTCTATGATAGTGCTGTGAGCTCACAGTCCTTCTACACCTATTAAGGGATGAATGACAGCGGCAGACAAATCCATAAGGTTCAGTGAAATCCTGCATATCGTTACGGCCTTTGTTAGCTAAACTAATCCGCTAATGGAAAAATGTCAGTGACACTTAAGTAGTGACAAAACATTTGAAAAATGCCTTCTTTTATGCCAGTCAATAGAGAGCTGCTTTATAATAGCACTGTGTACATGACCACACAAATCAATAAAAACAGGTACTCAGAATCTCTCTTTAATCTGGGCTAATGTACTTCTGTTGTCACCATAAGCACTATAATGTGTTCCTGCCTTCATCATCATAACATCAGACACAAACCACACTGATAAAACCGCTATAGATAAATGCACTGAAGATTAATTCTCAGGGCTGTGTTCAAATCCATTACGCTATGGATGTAGTGATGCTTGAGGAAAGATAAACTCGATTCTGGAGAAGAGCAGATGCTTCATATCTGCTCTCATTGTGGCATCATTTTTCTTTAACTGGATATTAAAAGCAACCCATTTATTTCAGACACTACTAACTCACCTCCCAGTCCGGGTCTCAGCCGGTTGTCGTAGCCGTCCAGCAGCCGGTCCAGGATGCGTGTGAACAGGGTGATGTTATTTTTGAAGGCATCTGTTGTGGCATCTGCGGACACTGACCTACACAACAAAGTCAAGTGTGTGTGTGTGAACTTAACAGTCTCATGAACAGCATGGGAAAGACTTCAGAGACTTCAAAAATGAGGGTGGAGAAACTACAGACCGAGTCAAATGAGGAATTACTGATATTCACAATGTTTTTGACGTCTTTTCATATTCATATGCTGCAAGTTACAGCTCTCATTTAAGACGTTCAGAGAATTATTGCACTGGATTCCAATGAAATTTGAAATCTTTTTAACTTTGAGACTAATTTTAGCTGTCAGAAAGCTGCTTTGAAGACAGCACTACAGCCAAACTAGTCTTTTTAAAAAGTAGTAAGCTGCAATACAGGTTAGTAAAAACTACTAGAGTTAAGTTATAATTACTACAATTAATACAATAACTACAATAAAGTTTTTACATGTTTTAGATAATAATCTGATTTCATCATTTAGAAAATTAATTAGGAAGTATTTTCTGACATAAAAACCATGAGGATCTCAATTAATTTACACTAAACACAGCTAATAAAACACTGAATGAAAGGCATAATGCTTAACTAATTGATAGTAATGATTTTTGAAACACTGCATGATGAAACAAGAATCATAATCATAATGATAGACAACATTATTTATTTAAATACATACATACATACATACAACATGGAGAAAATGTAATAACTTTTATAAGTAATGGTTTTTAACCACTTTGTTATAGAACATTGAATCCAAAAGCATAATTCTAAACAACAGAATTGAATAGAATATGTAATTTACAAAATAAAATAATATAAATTAATAAAATGAATGAATGAATGAATGACATGCAGGCAATTTAATTTCTTTTGTAAGTGATCACTTTTAACCAATTCATTAACAGCTGAATCAAAAGCATTTTTCAAAATATTTGTTTTACAAATAAAATAATTTTAAACAAACAAACAGGATTTTCTCAATTCTTGAGGGAGACAGAACTATTCAAGGAGTGTGCTTTGATTACTGCCTTAGTTTGCTTGTGCAGAATACAATGAAACGTGAAAACAGCAAGCGTTTTGTCAGACTACATTGCTACTTTTTGGAAAAGTACCTCCTTTCTGAAAATGTTATTGCTGCTAACTCCACAGCACTGCTGTGATGTGATTAGAGCGGTCTTTCACTCTGTTCCACTTACAGTAAAGTTTATGTGAAAAGCTGCTCAGGAATATAATTAACATACTTAAGCATAATTGGCTTAATTAGCATAAGCAATCATGCATGCATTATGAACGTCAACTTGATCTGTTTGCTAGCTGACTGTTAAACCCTTTTAACTCGCTCTGTTTCAAAGCCTATGTGCGGACTATTGAGAAAACCTTTTGAGGCATCCTAGGTGCATTTTCTTCCAAAGCTAATTTCTAAGACTATATTTTTGGTCAAACTGCATGCATAAATGCATCAAGCTAAATAACAAAGTAAAGAATATATCAATTAGACTGCTCTGCATCTGCATTTGGTGAATAATATCCAATACTTGTTTGTTACAAATTTTGGGGTGCTGATTCTAAAAATAGTGCCTGTTTTGCTCAAGCATGTCACATTTCCTTACAAAACATAATGAATTTTGTATCATTTTTGCTTTCAACAACCATATGAAGGGTGAAGAAGTCTTGTATTATCCCATAATCACCAGAAAACTGCCACAAAGACATGCTTGCCATCTTCCTCTGAGCAAGATTTCAACTATTTGCTCAATTTCCAGGCAAATGCCATGCGTATGAATGATTCTTAAGACATTATTTTATTACTAATCCTGATTTCAAGGTTAGAATTATGGCCAGCGACAGAAGAAATGCAAACATGACCCGGATATCTTTACTACATCTAAACAGCGACAGAAAATACAGATTTACAGTAAGTATCAATAAAATGTTTAAAAAATCTATTTAATCCAGTATGTACTTTATAGTATATCTCATCTTTAGTTTAGAAACATGCTAACATCAGACTCTATTGGAATCAGCCATGACTCGTGAGTTGTTGCCTTCCAAATCAGTCAGTTAGGATGCTGCAGTGCAAGGCAGCTGTCTATGTAGGCAGCAGTGAGGCAGCTCACTAGGTTTTGGAGCAAAGCCATAGATTATAAATGGACATGACTGGGCAAGTTCTTCTGAACGTGATTTCCGTCCAAATCGCTCCAAAGTAGTTCAGCTGGCAAATCAGCATATGCATAATTCTGCGCTCTGCCATGAGGTAATACCTCATTATAGAGCAAATTTGTAGCTAATTCCTACATAAGCCTCACATAAATTGAGAGTATTTTATAGATAATTATGCATCTTTGAAGCCGGTCATACTGTTACCATCTGGGTGAGCATAAAGGAACCTGAAGGAATAGTATCGACCCATTTAGAGTTATAGAAAGCACTCTGTTTTTACGGTTCCTCAACAGTTGGAGGACAAACCTCCCCCTAGCACTCCTTTCTCGGGGTGCATCCATGTGTGACCCAGATTAGCGGGAGGTTTATCTGATCCCGCCCCGATTCCAGTTATTCAGAGTGAATTCACTGCTTGTGGAAACCAGTAAAGCATATTTCATGAATCGACTTTATGACACAAACTGGAGGATGGGGTTGCTTATCGCAAGCATTATCTAGATTTATATGATATTGGTTTATTGATTGGTAAGGCTTGGTGTGACCATGTTCACTCCCAGGAGAGGGTCTAAGTCAATTATTTAATATAAATAAAAAGAAAACAGGCCATCTTATTAAGTTAAAACTAAATTGGCAGTGAACCTGAGCTGAGTTACAGAGCAGTCAGAGTAATTATAATCCATGTGGTCACTATTTAATCATGGGGTTGCAACAAAATCAAGGTTGAACCTCTTAATTATTGTTTTATCAGAATCAAAAAAAAAAAGAAACATTTCAACCAAAACACTCACTGGGCGTTCCAAAACACACAGATGCACATTGCTGTTATGCACTTAAAGTAAGGTACTATAGGTGTAAACAACCACTTTGGTTGGATTTTACAATTTTCACTTCGGACAATACTTTGCAATTAACAAACTGTCTAAAAACACACGGAATGATAGCCATTAGAATATATAAACATATTAATTTCAATTATTTTGTGTCACCTTCGCCCGATACATTAGGAATACATAGTATCTGTAAGCCATTTTCTTGCTCAAAATGAACCATAGCACTGCATTTCATATTGTATAATAGTTAGAAACCCTTAATTTGAAATTGCATTTTTCATTATTATGAAAAGCCCTTTGAAATGAGGGTTTAGAAATTCATGAATAGTTTATTAAAGGTGACATATCATGTAAATCTGACTTTTCCAGCTTTTAAGTGCTATAATCAGGTCCCCGGTGCATCTACCAACCAAGGAAACGTGAAAAAGATTAACCCAGTAACTTTGTTTTGGTAAGCCTTTTTCTGCAAGCATCTGAGAAAACGAGCGCGTCTGATTTCGCTTCCTTGGTGACGTGGCAAAAAACAGTATATCAGAAGTTTAAACTCATATGGTTTGAAACGTATGATTTCAGTACGATAAACATGATAATCAGAACCAAAGCAGATGTTTTTAGCAGGTACGAGCTGTAATGGCACAGCTCTATTCTGGAAAAGGGGGCGGGGAGCAGCAGCTCATTTGCATTTAAAGAGACAGGCCCGAAAAACAGCGTGTTTCTGCTTCCACTCAAAATAGGCATTTTCAAAATGATATAATAAATGATCTGTGGAGTATTTTGAGCTGAAATTTCACAGACACATTCTGGGGAATCAGGGTATCTTCCGTACAATTGTTTTTTAATTTAATGTTGAAATCTGAAAAATGAAAAACGGAACATATTTAGTTTTTCAATTGTTCAAACAAAACGAAAAATCAAGAATCCGGCTTTATTTTTCATTTTTACGTTCAGGGATAGAAAATGAATAAACAACTTGAATATTTGATCTCTACATGTGGGCAGGAATGAAACGCCCCTCTCCGCTGATTAGTCAACCAAACATCACAACATAATAATAGTCTTACAAGAAAAAAAAGAAAAAAGAAAAAGAAACAATAATAGTCCTCCGCTTCTATTGATTCTAAACATGTTTATTTCTACTACATTTTATCTCTTTCTCTTCATCAAACAGCCAAATTAATGAATGGCTTGACACAAACCATACAGAGGCAGAGCCTTTTGGCCCTTAAGCACACCGCCTGTTTTATTATAGCTAACCACCTATTAAAATCTGTGTGGCAAAACTGCGCAACGCACAGAATGTATTGTAGTGAAGCGCAGACCACTATCAATTTATGTGAACATACAGTCATAACTTTTGTTTTAGACAATATGCTGCGTTTTAGACAAAGGAGGAACTTAAATAATATGACAGATATGAAAAGAAATGACTTTGTGTAATTTACCTTCACAGCACATCTATTATTTTTCTTTTTTGAGTTGTATTCATAGAGCTCTTTCTACAAATTAAGAAAATCATATGTTGTTATCCCACTGGCATGTGACTATTTGTTCCTCAGATTGAATTTAGTGAAATGTGAATTTGACGTCATGATTTGAAAGTGAACTCGTTTGAGTTATAACATATCCAAACCCTGAAATAACACTTCAAACAATAAGCCAGTGTCATCAGTGTCAGAAATTAATTTTCCCATAAGGGGCAACTGATTTTCAGTTTTTTATTTATTTATTTATTTTTATTTTTTTACCTTTTACCTTTTGTATGTCATCTTTAATGTTAAATTCTTACATCAAATAAATTTGAATAATATGACAATAGGCTGTTACCACCAGTATTCAGTTATATAGAACCTGCGTCTGAAGATGCTTTTAGATGTATTTACAGTTTAATGCTGATCAGACAGCTGTACGTGCATTTACACAGCAATTACAAATGTATAATGAAATGAAATTAATGTTTTATACAACATTTTAATACAGAAATATGAATAAAATGAAATTATACTTGAATTATGAAAGTAATATCGCCACTAAGTGGCGGTGAGTCATTGTGTTAATAAAGGAGCCTTTTATTCAATCAATTCGTACAAAATGCTTCATTCATTTATTTAGGAATAAAATCAAGCGGCTGTCTATAATAATTGGTAATTGTATTGCTGTCTATAATAATGGGTTTTTCAAAGATTCATTTAGGAATGATACACCACTCTACTGCGAGTCAGTCACACGACGGTTCTGTGACTTTGGTTTAGTTGGCAGAGAAAATAACAATTTTGTATGCCATCAGTTAGCTGGCCAATACTCAATATTAATTAAATAAACTCATTTTATTGTCCAAAACTACCTGTGTTCACATAAATTATAGTGGTCTGCACTTGTCTACAATACATTCTTCCCACGCTGCAGTGCATCGTGCAGCTTTGCCACACAGATTTTAATAGGTGGTTAGCTATAATAATTCAGGTGGTGTGCCAAAGATGCAGACTAGTAGGTAGTTGTGAGTGCAGGTGCGAAGTAAATTAATATTTATGAGATAAACTAATATTTCATTGGTAGGTTGCATAATTTATGCCTACACAAAAGAAAGCTCTGTCTAGGATGACTCTGCCTCGATACGGTTTGTGTCAAGCCATTCGTTAATCTGGCTGTTTGATGAAGAGAAAGAGATAAAATGTAGTAAAAATAAACACTTTAAGAATCCATAGAAGAGGAGGACTCTTATTATGTTTTTTAGGACTATTATTATGTTGTAATGTTTGGTTGACCAATCAGCTGAGAGGGGCGTTTCATTCCCGCCCACATGTAGAGATTGAATATTCAAGTTGCTTATTCGTTTTCTATCCCTGAACATAAAAACGAAAAATGAAGCCAAATTCTTGATTTTTCTGTTTTGTTTGAACAAATGAAAAACGAAAAATGTGCGTTTTTTCATTTTTCAGATATCAATATTAAATTAAAAAACGATTGGACGGAAGATACGCTGATTCTGGGGACACCATAGACTTATATTACATATTGTAAAAAGGGGCATAATATGTCTCCTTTAAGTGTCATTCACAAATTAAATGTATTATTAAATATTCTGAAATAAAGCTTTTTTATTGCAAAATACTATTTTTCCCACTACAAGACAAAAACATGTTCACACACACGCACACGCACACGCACACACACACACACACACACACACACACACACATATGTGGCAATTACAAACCACCAAGATCGCGATTACAAAAATAGGATGATAAAGTGATATTTTCTGTATGACCTTTGGTGTAATATGTAAATACGTTTAATAAGATGTTTAATATTTAATAGGATTATGCATAATTAGAAGTGTGAACGCTTGAATGCGTACATGTTTTAGCTTTTAGTTAAAAAAAAAAAACAGCATTTGCACCTGTAGTACCTCCCCTAAATGAGAAAGCGCTCCGCATGGTTCCACGCTGTTCTACACCACCTAGAGGATTCTTCACTGATTTTGAACAAAAACCAATTATTTCACGAAGCTTCGCAAAAAAAACAAACAAACAAAAAAAATCTAAGCTAATTTGCATTAAATTAAACTTGCATTAATTATTCCTATTCAAATAAACATTAAGCCAGTCTTTGTCAGTCTTTGTCAGCAGAGCGATTTCTTTTGGTGACCACCGGAGTCGTGCGCGTAAAAGTCTCCAGTTACGCACGGAGACAAGAGGTTTCCAGTCAATCCCAGTATCTTCAAATTAAGGTTATAGCAATTATTTTGATGTATTGCATTCTCAAGCTCATTTAAAAAGCGAAGTCAAGACTGTCAGTCCTACCTGGTGTGCCAAAACAGCGTCAACACGAAGATGAGAAGATGAAACGCGAACCTCTCCCTCATATTTCTGCCACCCAAACCTGTATAGAAGAAGACAATTCCTCAAATCAGGTGAAGAAACTGAGGTTTGTTTTAGTAAAATACTGCCATCACACACTATGACGGGTTAAGTTGGTCCATTAGCGCACACGGTTCCGTGCGATCCACCTGCTGATCTTAGATGATGGATCCCAGACATTTCATTAATATTTACAGCGTGTAACAATTCATGATATGAATATCAATATCCCTTACTAACATTTCAAATCGTAAGATGAGAAAACCATGACCAAGTGACCACAGCTCGCGCTGTGATGATGATTTCCACTTAAATGGCAACATATGGCTGAGTATCATTTACACACATGGCCAGAAACACAATATCCACAACGGTGCTGTAGCCTACTTTATAGAGAGGACACCCACCTGTGATCCACCAGATCCGCTTTGTCCTTATGGATAAAGGCTGATAAATAACAACCGGAATGTGAAAGTTTATTCCCAGCCGATGAAACCGGATCACGAGTGTTATTCAAGAGCACGCACGTGGATCGGGAACGAGCATTAATTCATTCCCATAATAATTCACTATAAAATCAGATGCATATGAGCATCACTGAGGGTCTCTGATCCTCAACCGCGTCTCTCTCACTCTAACTAACGCACCGACGCGCCGTGATCTCAGATCTTCTTTACTGAATATCATACTGCTCACTATTTATTTTTTTCTCCTGAAAGAAAGAAAGGGGGGATAAGTACAAAGAAATAGACAGATAGAGAGCTGGGTCCTAAAGGCAGTTATATCAGGGCGCTGATCGCTCGCGCGCGCTCTCTCGTACACACATACACATCACATAATGACACGTTGTGTCATGGTGTACATTTATTAGCAGTAGCCAGGGCTGTGCACAGACCTTTTGAGGGGCATGTGCTGAAACTGAAAAAGGGCACCACCCTCCCCTTAATGACAAATTAAATAACACAAAATAATAGTCTCAAAAGCTTTAGATTTATTCACTAATAAC